TATTTTAAGATATTTTGTTTGCAAGTTTTTTAAGAATTTTCTCTATTAAGATATAAAAGATGAAGCATTTACATTTATTATTATTTTATCAAATATAATAAATATAAAGAACAACTGTAAAACTTCATGTATTTATTTCCATTAACTTAAACTACCTGAATTAATAGATATTGTAAATATTGATAAACAAATTGTCCTGTATATAAAATGACGGCAAAATTGGGTAAAGTGCCAAAAAAATAGAAATAGAATGTATACTGCAATTTTTGTTTCTTTCTACAATTTTTTGCTAGAATTTTCATGTTGAAGTAATTTAAAATAGATTCAAATGGGTTCCGGGTTCGGAGTTTAACGTTCGGTTTAGGGTAAAATTCCTATAACAAAACTTTTTTAAATTGTCACTGTGAGCCGATATTCCTTGTAAAGATAATCAGCTTTGCAAATATATTTCGGAAAATAACCGTTTAAAGTGCTTATATTGAAAATGGGGTTCGATCACTAAAACACTCAATCAAATTTCTATCGTCGAGAATTAATAACTTATTAGATGATCACTATCGACACAAAATTAATAAAGACCGTCTTAATGGATACTTTATGAAAAAAATGGTATTTATTATGTTATATAAATGTAAAGTGAACCATGATAATTTATTTTTAAAGAATAATCATTCAATCAAAAAATTAAACCATTTTACAAGAGTTTGGAATCAGAAACAAATTTAGGCAGATTCTTATAGAATGATTAAAATAATATAAATATTTAAATTGACTAAGAAAGTAAGTAACCACTCCCCCAGAGTTAACCCTTCATAACCCCCCTCCCCCCCCCCCTCACACATAAAAGGCCTAAATCTAGGAGCTGGGACCTAAAACACCCTCTTAAATTTTATAAAAATTGAAATGGGAATCTATTTTTACATGAACCCAAACGGGAAGAACAGTGATTCAAATTAGAAGTTTGTTTAATCTTTCAATTTTCCAATTTTTCTTTATTATTTATTAATAATTTGGAACTAGAACCTTATCTTGAAACCTTGTAAAATCTAAGAATTCAACCAAAATTTTTTTTTTAATTTTTATTTATGTAGTTGATTTTAAAATTTCAAATGTTTAATTTTAAATTATCGTTTACTTTTTTATTTAGTCCTTTAAAGACTGATACTCCTGCATATCGTGTACCGTCATGTTAAAACTATTCCCAAAATTATTTGGTCAATTTTTTTTCCTTATTAATTTTTATCTAAATATAGTTTGAAACTTTAGCCAATATCTGTGTTGTAGTGCAATCATCAAGAAAGTATTAAAGTCATTTTTTGAGAAAATTGTGCTATGGCGCTCACTATTTCAATATTTTTTTACATTTTTGGAATAGGATCTTTTAGCGGACTTTGGAATTTGGTTTACAGCAATTTCCAAATTCATTATGGCACAAGCTATATAATAATCTAACTATGATATAAAAAAATTTTTTTATTTCATAGAAAGAATAAACGAATAAAAATAATATATGCTATATTATTATCATATTATATTTAATGCTGTTTCAAAAAATTTATCCTCCTTTTATTTTTTTTCCCCACCGAATTTAAATTTGAGTTTGACAGGTATATTATTTTTTGTAATGTATAATATAATATAGTATATTAAATTATCATTATTTCTTATAGACATTGTGTTTACCATGATAAAAAATATGGAGATATTTTTTAAAAAAATAATAGAATATAAATAAAGATAAGGACATTTCCAGGCAGAACATTTGTTTAAATCGGTTTCTAAGATTTGTTTCAAGCAATTAGGATAATAATTTGTCGATCTGATGTATTAAGATGTAATTGATTTTTGAACCGTTATTTAAAATCGGATACTTAACACTCAGCCTAAGACTTGCCTTTATAAATGTATTTTGCTTATAACTGGTTTCTATTAATGGACTTGAAGTTGAACTGATTGATTAATTAATAAGTGCTAACAGGCATATAATTTTTGTCCTAGCATGTTACATTATTCTTTTTTTATTTTTCCAATTATATGGTTTCTTTAAACTAATTGCAAAACGAATTGAGCTACATAAATGTACTTAATACACACTAATTATTTATAAGTTTTAGAGTTAATGCTTCCAGAAGTTTGAATGAATTCATGTTTATGGCATGATGGAATAGTTATCTGGCTTAAATTTGCTTACTTTGTATGGCTGGCTTAATTAATTGAAGAATCTTAATTAATAAGTAAGGCCATAAATATTAACGCAAACCAGATATTTAGAATATATTCTCCATTCTGTTAATTTTGGTAATTTTTTTCTTATTTATTAAATGAAATTTTCTCATTTTAAACCATCAACCAACCAGACTAAAGCATCTATTAAGCACTACATAGATTTGGTATAAGCTACAGAATTCGTGTTTCCGAAAGCTTGACTACACGCTTAAAGCGTGATGTCATAATTCCATTTTATAATTCAATTTTTTTTCGCGGTTCTCAAAACGGATTGAATATTTACTAGTCAGATACTATATATTAGCACAAGCCAGATATATAGCTTTTCTATATATAGTGTTGTGCAGATTTAAAACATTTCCATAATTTAATTCGCTTGTAAATAAATTATTTAACTTTAAAAATTGTTAATATATTAATATGTTATTTTAACAATTTTTTGCAAGTCAAATAATTTTATTTTCCAAATTAATAAATATGGAAATTTTTTAAATTAAATCTGCACAACACTTTATTCTATTCTTACATGATACCAATTTTAAAAATTTATTTTTTGTTATACTTTTTTTTTATTGTACTATCTATCAAGAGGATTAAAAATATTTAAATAAGCACTAAACATTGATAAAAATACAATTTTCAGAATAAATTCTTTCAATCGCTTTTTAATCGTAAGGTGGTCAAAATTTTACTGCAAATAATTTATTTTATAACTGACTGGCTATTATGCTGGTTAAAGTAATCATATGCACTAGTAAAGCACGAAATATTGTCATAAATTTCAGAATTAATTCTTCTAATTGCTCAGCAAACTTTAACGGAGATGATATATGGATATTACATAAAACTATCAAAAATACCTATTCCAAACGGGACCCGGACTTAGGCTAGGAAAATGTGGGTTTGGGGGAGAGGCTTCCAAACAAATTGGCGACCCCATATTCCCCGTTGGATACTCCGACAAAATCATATTTTTCTTAGAATTTAAAAATTGTCCATGTTGATAATTCAATATTAAGAGATTCAGAATTAGTCGTTATTCTAGAAAAATCTTATTACATATTTATATATTATTACGCTGAATATGGGAAAATTATATAAACAAGCGTTATTAACGAATTATACCGTATATGTTATTACTTCCATAAATAAAATAGATAAAAAACAGTTCCATTCCATTTAAAAATTTATTGTATATTTTTATCATAATATTAATAAATTTTTTTATAACTATTATACTTAAAACTGATTAATAATTTATTTTGTCGTTGTGTCGTTTATCTATATTTTTCTCCCCTAAAAAGCGAGTAATAAAATTTAACAATTTTTGGGTGTCTATATAATTAAAAATAAAGAATGAAAAGGAAAAGGAAATGTTATATTACTAATTTTTGTTATTATTTTATTTTTAATCTTAGGGCTTTGTAAATGACAATTTTTACCGACCGACCCACAAAAGAATGTATATTATACATAGACAATTATATTATAATTAAATTTTAATACAGAAACATATATAATATATACATCATTATAATATACTACATTACTACTATACTATATTACGATATAATATATATCCAAAAAAACACATATTTCCTATAAGATTAATAATAATAAAACTTTAAAATGTCTAAGGTCGGTTTATATATATACAATAAAAAGATGAATTATACGAATTAATGCGAAATTAATTGAATTTGGGTAGCGAGGAGAATATAAGTTTTACAAAATATGAAATTATTATAAAAGAAGGAGACAACCATAATTATCCTTTTTTTTAAAGCCAAATTAAATGAAAATAATTTAAGTTCAGCGAGGGAAAATATTTTTTATAAAAATGATAAAATTTATTTTCTTATAATATTTTTAAAAAATTACCAATTTTTCTAAATTAAAATTTGTCTTCTTAAAAAAAATTGATCTTAAAATATTATATTAAGAAGTATTGCACCGAATTCGATTTGATATTAAACGTGAACTCTTATTTTCAACACCTTGACGCGACTACTATGATAATTTTATTGGCCCTTAAATTTTTAAAAAATAATGCACTTAAGTGTTAAAGATGAAAGATTCTGAATTCGTATTTAAATCATAAATAGATCTGTACTTAATAAACTCAGTAAAAAAAACGTATCTTTAATTATAACAAATACCTTTGTGAAGCAAATAAAAATGATATAATGAACAATTCATCCTACCGAATCTTGGAAGACGACATATTTTCTCGATAATTATCTAGTTTTTTTTAGGGTGGGATATAAAGAGCGGTGTAGTTGAAATTTACTACATTCATTTTCCAATATATGCAATATGGACTTTTAAAACACTAAACTTTTTATTGTGATGTATACTGACAAATAAATTATTTTTCTAAATATGATTAACTAGTCATAAAATTATCAACCTATATCCTAAAATCAAACTTTTCAATGTAAAATAGTATATGTTTGTATAAAATAAATATTTGCTAATAAATTGTGCGGGCTTCATTTAACCTTAACTAATAACCGCTTAAATTCTTTGTAGCAAATAAGCAAGATTATATACATTAAATCACTTGGTAGTAAAAGGGAGACATATCTCAAAAAACGGATCCTCAAATAATGTACAATCACAAATTTTTTAAAATTTCTCTAAAAGAAAAATTTCCTGGAATTATTTGTAATTAATGAAATGATCTCAAATTCATTTCTATACACATTTATTTTGATGCTACACACTCATGCCTTATATTTGTTGATTTTGACGATATCCTGTTTATTTGACAGGGCTCTTTCATCGGTCGTAGCGTTAGGAGCCAACGTTATATGCAGCAAAATCCCGGGGCTAGCCCCTCAACAAAGACTCCAATGCCAAAGAACCCCTGAAGCCATTATTGCAATATGGCAAGGTGCTAAACTCGGCTTATCCGAGTGCAGATGGCAATTCAAGATGCACAGATGGAATTGTACCATGATAACTACAAATACCGATTCCGTGTTCAAAAGTCAACTTCGCCAACAACAACAAATTGGGCAACAAAGTAATTCGGGATCTTTCGTATTTGGACCGGTGTTTATGAGAGGTTATTATTCACATAATATATATACCATATTATAAAGTCAAAATATAAATACGGAATAAATAATCTTTTTATTCGCAAAACACTTATTCTATTTTTATTATAATCCTTTTCTATTAGTTTACATATATAAGTTTACTTTAAAAGTTCTTTTTAGGCCTTATAAGCAAAAATATTTCTTTATGAGTCTAAAATATGAAATTAAAAGCAATAAAATTATGCGCTTTATTGGTTAAATTATTCTATAAAATTAAATACAAATGATTTGTTTTATAAGAATTCTCGCTTATGGTATGATATTTAATAATGCTTAAACTTTCGCCACTTTATTATGTTACATATTATCACATTTTGAGATTCTGCTGAAGTTTTATTTTAACATATTGAAAGGGGTGGGAGTCGAATAATATAACCCCTAGAAAAAAGTTATAGGCGAAATGGACAATATTTGCACTCTTCTTACCTCTTATAATTTACTTCCCAATCATATCTAACTAAACATCTCTAGCTAAGGTTTATAATAAATCTGAAAATTATGGCCCTTTAATTATTAAAGTATAATAAAAAAATTAATTAAGTTTCAAAATACAAAAAAGCTCAACGTGATCAAGTAACGCTGGGTGGAGAATAATTTTTTTCTTTAATATCTAAATTTATTTTTAAAAATAAAAAGGTATATAATATATTAAAAATAAACTATAATATTTTTTTATCCCAATTGTTTATTTATTTAGGTATAATAAAATTAGGCCTTTAATCTTTACCCATATGTTATAATAACATAATGTGATAATCCCTTCTCTTTCATTTGGTCCTTTAAATATTTCTTTATAGCATTCATGATTAAATAACAAACAGAATCTTAGGAATTTATTAGTAAATATGGATGGCTCATCTATAATTTATAATTGTGAGGTAAACAGAACAACTCTTATTATTTAACAAAGTACAAAAGAATAATTAAAAATGAGAAGGAAAAAAAATTAAGAAAATCGGAAAAGATTAGAAAAATAAATAAAAAATGACATAATATTTAAGAGAGATGGAGATCGCAAAAAGTTGGAAAAATTATTTAAAACAATAATTAAAACGGTCAAAAAGTGACATTTCGAGAATATTAAAACAACAACAAAAATAAAAGTTTAATTTAAAAAAACCGTGGCTTTCTACCTTTTACTGTGGGTGCTACATAGGGCTAAGTTAAAGTAGTACTTTTTACTATTTACCAACGACCCTGGGTAGATGGCAAAACCATAGGGTAAGATGGGAAATATAAAATTCAACACACAAATAAATCACAAAGTTTTAAATAATACACATATAATCTAAAAATGAGAAATATTTTTTTAAAAAATTAATCTTAATAATAGGGGCACCATAAAATGGATCATTCCTAGCACACCTTGAATGTCAGAGGGAGCTATATCCAGTCTTAGCGTTTTTTTTATTATGGTTATAATTTTGGCGCACATTACACAATTAGATTTTTTATTTTTTTATCGGTTTTCTATTTTGATAATCTTTTCATGCAATTTAATTCTTTTTATTTGATATTTTACCACCACCCGAGGTTTAGCCGTGGGTATTGAGTAGCCTAAATGGCTATAGAAATCTTCATGGGCAAGCTAGAAATTTTAGATCAATTAAATCAGTAGACTAGACATTGGGCAATATGGCATATAAATATCATAAAATTTGAAGAACTATTTTTTTCTACAAGGCAAAAAATACTTAAAAGAAAAGTTGTTAAAAAGGGATAAAATCATTTTTGACCAATATTTTTTGAATAAGGAGCTACCGTAACTAAATAAACATATGGTAGATAGTATGTATCGAAATACATCTTTTGAAGAAATTTAACAATAAGCCCTAAAGATTAAAAAGTTATAGCCGTTTGCCTCTATATCCCATCTGCCAGATAGCCCCGGCCTCCTCTATGTTGTTGAATACCAAAATAAACAACTATTTATAATATTGGGGAGACTTAAATTAAAAACACTATACTTAGTGGATTATTGCTTGAAATATCAGAATTCAATAAATATATTTTTTTTAAAAAATTTGCAATTTTTCCAAAAAAATACTTCGGGTAAGATAGTCATGCCGGGATAATGTTGCGCCATGCATGAGGCTGTTAACTAAAAATTTAAAGATTTTTGTATATAGAAAATATATGTACGTATAAGGCAGAAGGGATTAGACAAATGCTTATAATTTTTTGTTCTTTAGAACTAATTCTCTCAAATTTGGTAGAAATATAGCATACTTACAGCTATTTGTTTAAGAGTAGGGAGCTCCTCCTTCAAACATACTTACTAAAAACAATTTTTGGCGAGTTTTTGTTTTGAGAAAATAAAACCTTTTCGAATTTTAGAAAATTTATACAAAAATTTTTTCAAAATCTAACCTTCAAATTAAGCTTCTGGGGTTTCTAGCTCATCTAAGAGAAGCCACAGAACTATTTTTGCCTGTTCATTATCTCAGCCAGAAGAGCAAAAATTAATTAAAATGCAAATGTTATATAGATTTTTATAGACTGCAATTCTAAAAAGGAAAACTTTGGATGACAGTAATTAGATGATTATATAGCGCAATTAGCTAAGGCATAATCCAGCAAAGTATTTTTAAAGAAACTAAATGAAATGACTTGTCACTCAATTATGAAAAAGATATAAAGAGTTCAAATAATAATAATCCATCCTGTTCCCAAAATAGAATCAGAATCCCTTAATTTATTTTTTAAATGTTCTGGACAAAAAACAATAAGTGATTAACACAAATTTTCTAAATTAATATAAATATAGCAAATGTTACGATAATTTAAACTATACTGACACTAAGGTAGCTTATAAAATTTAAACCTTCAAATTCACAATATATAGCCGAAATTAGAAATAACCGACAAGCCAGACAAAGCTCTTGTATAAATATTTAATTTATTGTTTTCTTAATAAAGTTTACTATAGTTGCCGCCAAAATATAATTTCGCGAAATACTTATCTAGCAGGAGCATATTTCGTTAACTCATTTTTTAAAAATTAAATATCAAAGCAGAACCTTATTATACTTATTATAATAAAAAATTAGGTCAATCATTAAAAATAAAGCTAAATCTTTTTTGTATAAATTCAATTATATATTTTACTTGACAATCTTTATGTATAAGTAAAATATTTAATGGCCAGTATTATATTACATGATCTTTTACTATCACATTCTAATTTCTAATCTTAACGGATAAAATATGCCTATATAATTATACGGTCCAATTCCATTATTATTTTAATACTACTACTTATGGTAATTTTTATGATATGAAAGATAGGTCAATATAAAAAAAAACATAAGATAATTTATTGTAAAAGCTATAAAATGCAATTTTTAAAGTTAAGAAAAATAAATATATAGAATTTTAATCGGTACATTTTTGATTTTAAGTTCTGGTTCCATTCATTTTTTTTAAGGTTCTAAAAAAGTTTCTAAATTTATCATAATCTATTTAAAAGTAAAATGAATGTGAGACAAATTAATAAGAAAGTTACATTATATATAAACAAGTCGATTTTTTTAAAAATTTATCTATTCATTAAAGTATTTAAAGTTATTTCAAAATAATTTTATTCTTGGCGCCGATAAAATATTGGAAGTAATTGACTAGTATGCCCTCTCAGCACTTGCTTCTACTTTATAGAAACTGGGAAGAGCTAAAATATTTTTTGATAGTTCTCATTTAAATTAAGTGTATACATATTTATAATTTGATTATTACCATTATATGTGAAATATTTTAAAGATTGTAAAAACAAGCGGAATTAATGAATTTTTAAATAAGATTAAATGATTATATATTCTGTTCATTTCAAGATTTTAAATTTATTTTTATCATTTTTATGCTAATAAAGCTTAGGGGAGATCGATTTGTATTTTGCATTTTTACCCATAAAATTTTGGAACAGAATAAAACAAAATAAATTATAAATTTATATGTAGCCAAATCCCTCATCTAGAAAATAAAAAAAAAGTATAGCTTTCTACCTATAATACTTTAGGTGGTATGTTTAATTATGTGAAGTGTGCCATTTTCGCTATTTTATTCCATACCAAGGGTATGGCAGCATTCGGGTAAAGTAGTTAAAATAAAATTGAACATAACTTTGTTGTTTTATTAAGCAAAATATTACATTTTTGACATGCATTCGTCACTTTTAAGTATAAACTAATCAATACAATATGGGAATGTAAAGAAATTTATGAAAAATAGCATTTTGAATGTGCCCATTTTAGGCACGTCAATTATTCTTCCCCTTTGCGACTATTTTTTAAATTTTATTTCAAATAACACACTAACTATTTATTAATGTTTCTTTTTGTTCAAAAATATTCTTTTATAAGGTATAGACGTTAATAATAAAAAATTCTCTTTTTACAGCTTTAATTAGACGGAACATTTTAACCATTTTGCCCAGAACAACACCCAAAAGTGATATATATTATACAAATCATTATTGCATGACTTCTAGTAAGCAACAAACTTCCGTTAATTTTTAATTTATAGCTATGACTGTATACAAAAATTTTAAATTATGACCCTTAATATATTCTGCTAAAGCTCACCATAAACTATATGGTAAGCTTTATAATTTTTGGGTAAAAACAGGGTTTTGACAAAATATCTCAAACCAGGAAAGCTTTCCAAAAGATGAACATAATTAAGAAATTAGATATAAAAATATATCTTAACACCAAATTTATCTTTATACTCAAGGGTTAAGTTATTCGCGTTAACATTGTACTCCGTAAATCATTACCTCGGTATCCCCTGTAGATGAATTTAGAAAATATTTACTATTGTTGTTAAAATAAACCTTCCCTGGGGCGTAAAATAATAAAATATTAAAAATGCGGGTAGGGTCCATTAATAAATTAATTAAATTAACAAACCAGTTGGAAAATCATATAAT